GTTTGCTGTGGTTTGCACAGAGGTGGTGTGACTGCAGCTGATCATCTATAGCTGAGCATTGACAGTGTCCAAAAAGTGTGCTGTGGCTGAGCACAATCAAACTTGTTATAGCAAAATTCAAAAATATATCTTTGCTGTTTGTTGTGTTTGCTGGAGATGGTTAAATTTTGTATATTGTTGTCTAAGTCTGACGTAAGTAAGAGGCAATATGATTAGTTTAACTTCATTATATGACTACTCAGATGTAATTGTGCAGCTGTATGCACCGATACAAAACTCCAGATAAGTATCAACCACGAGTTAAAAATTAAATACAGTTTCTTTGTGAATGTCATTCTAAAATTCTGTGTTACGCCTATCACTAAAAAGAATTCAGTCTAAGTGGGCAGTGGATCAGTTCTTTAGTACGGCAACAATCCCTGGTGTCAGTTCTACTCAGTGAGGTATACAGGTCATATATGCGAGACAAATCAAATCAGTGCATCCCAACCTTTATGGGTGTTAAAAATTCTTAAATTAAAGTCACATTGTTGAGAAATGATTCAGCTCTTCTATTGAGTAATTCCACAGAATAAGACTCTGAATCATGCCTTGCATAATCAAAAACTGAAGCTATCCTCAATGTGTGTCAAGAGGACAGTTATATATAAACTGCAGTAAAAATCTATAGTGAGGTGCTGCTTACCCGTGTGCGATCCTCAATGCTGTAGATGTTGAGCTGCATGGGGATGTTAAAGCTGTGGAGGAAATTCCCCCCAAACACCAACGTGTCCTCTGGGGTGTACACGGCATGGATCCACCCTACAACATACAAGACACAGGACGCTGGAGACATGTCGCGGTACTGACGGCGTATGTACCTGTGTTTATTGTATGTCTGTATCTGTCACTGCAATATTACACTAACAAACCTGATGGGATGATGAAGGTGTTGCCCTGCTTGAGCTGTATCCTCTGACAGTCGTGACACTTGTCCCCCAAGAAGATGTCTCCCTGTTTTCCTGATAAAACCCAGTTCTCATACATCTCCAGGTTCTGCGGCGTGGGTGGAATCAGCCAGAACACCTGCATGGGCCACAGGGAACAGGTCACGTATAAGGTCAACAAATACATAAAGAAATGTCCATGGCACTAATGTGCATTTGCAAGACATTAACAAAAAGGTTAAAAAGCAAAATACTGTTTTTTTTAACATGTAAATATTTTGGGGGCTTTTGTGCTTTATTTGATAGCACAGTTTAAGCATGTTAGGAAAGGAAGCGAGAGGGGGGGTGTCATGAAGTAAAGGGTCACAGGCTGGATTTAAACTCAAGACGCATGGGGGTGCCAGCTCTACCAGATGAGCTACCAGGATGCCCGCAAGATGGGAGTGTTAACCCACGATCACATCTATGTGTATTCTGACAGAATGGCTGAAAAAACAATGGTTGAATGGTAAAAATCTATGGTTCTTGTGTGGTGTGAGACTGACCTTTCCTCCTCGCAGGATGTGGTACCAGACTGAAGTGCCTCCAAAGTCTATGTGGAAATCTGTGAAGCAGCCCTGCACACTCATGAGACAGTACCTGAGAGAAGTGGAGGAAGGACAGAAAACAGAGTGTGGATTTTAGATATATGTGTTCGTATCTTAACTACAGCACAGAAAATGTTAATCCATTTCTGGTTTACTCACTTCTGCACTTTGGGATAATGCATGTCTATGATGGCATTAGTGGAGTCTCTCTGTCTTTCCTTGAGATGGCGGGGCCACATGTTGTCCACCCAGTCAATAAGGTCAACCTGGATAATGAGGAAAGGAAAATTGTATAAAACATACATTCAAACTGTCTGCACTAAACCCAAGACTTTTCTAATAACCGACATAATTTTTTGTATGTAGACTAAATTTACTGTTACTCTGCAACCAAGCCAAAGCTCTATCTTTTTTTGGTAAGTTACAGGTATGTGTGAATAAGAGTGGTGAAACAGCATTATCTATGTGCACATGTGGGTTGTTGTAAAACCCTGAGATTGTGAAAGAAATTGTGCGCATTCTCACCGAAGCAGGTCTTTTGACCAGATTCTCCAGCCTGGTGTGGCTGAACTCCAGGCTGATTACATTGTAGAGTTTTTCTCTTTCTGATGGTGGCGTCTCATAGTAGCGTCGCCACTGAGCCATTGACATCTCGATTCCCTTCTGCGTGTTCACGTCCATCACGTCTACAATGCGTCGACTACCTGCAAGAGAAATAAAAAGAGGTTCAACAAGTGAGACCGCTGTAGTTAAACCCAAATATACTAAACACTCATTGTGTGTAATAACTCTTATTTCTGATTAAAATGCCCAGCAATAATCTGACCAATGCTGGACTGATAACTGGAAGTTTAATGAATCCTATAACAATATCTCAACTGAATTGTTTTCAACAAGGACACTTAACATAAACATAACTGATGGAGATCCCTTAGATGTTTTTGTGATACAGACTGAGACATTTTACAACAAAAACCAACTTGTCACTGTCAGTTTAACATATCCCTCATGCATTTTCTTGTTGCCTATCGTTTGTCATATTTGGTAAATGGACCTTGTATAGCACCTTCGTTAGTCCTCTCCGACCACCCCTCACAGCGAGCCGCATCTTCTACACTACGTGCCCACATTCAACGCCTTTCACGACACCATTCACAACGCGACTGGGGCAGGCAAATCGAACAGGAACTACACACTTCATACACATTCCCACCACACTGAATCGCTATCGTTGCAATTTGGGGTTCAGTATCCTTGGCTAAGCGATACCTTCACCGCTGCCCACCCGAGGAGCCGGGGATCGAACCAACCTTCCGATTGGGGGACGACAGGCATTTGGTATGTTACATTGTGTGTACAAAAAGTAAAGCCAATATCTGTAAAAGGATATAAAACAGGAACTTACCGACAAACAACTTGACATCACTCACACTGAAATCAGGGTCTGGCATTCTGCAAGAGAGAGGCATATCCTTACATATCCACATTTTGACACAGTCATTTTCTTTGGACACGGGGTCACTAAGCTAAACAATTTTTTAAAAATGATTGTGTGTGTTTAGAAAAAGAGAAATCTGCTATTAAGCAGTAAAAGAATGTGACTTACTGTATGCCAAGGCCATCACCTGTCTCAAAGATAATGGGGTCCCGGAGACCTTCTCTTTGGATGTATTCAAATGTGAAATCTAGAAAGGAGACACACAGAAAAAATTATTTGCACTGGGTATAAAACCCACAAAATAAAAAAAACTTGTTAATGTTAACCAGTATGAACTGGTTTATCTGATCAACAATGTGTTAAAATTGTGCAGCATCAAGCAACAAAGCACAAAGAACAAGCAACTAGTCTTAATTAACTTCACATAGCTTTAGATATTTCCACGTATGGTTTCACTTTAATTATATTCCATGAATCTCTTTAAAATGTACTCATTAAAAACCTCTCACCTTTACCCTCCATGTGCTTGATCAAGTCAGAGCTAAACCTGACGCACTTCAACTTTTCATCCAGGTCGAACATTCGCTTCCCTTCAATTTCATCATCTGAGATTCCATCGTCCTGGTAGCGGCGGCGCGTACCCGTACGCTGTGGACGAAAGAAGGTTTCTCTACGTCAGTAAACCATTTGATTTGCAGTGAGTAACGGAAAGAGGACAGGAGGAGAGGGCTGAAATAGCTGGCAGTGAGAAATATGGGACGTCTTACGGCACTGAAGATATTTAAGTGCCATGACAAAGCTGGGTTAAAGCGGCCTATTGAGACCACATACACAGGAAGCTACATAATAAAAAAGGACTTAAGATATGGTTTGGAAGAAAAACATGACAGCTTCCTCAAAGGAGTGGGCTCTAACTTACAAACTAGAGGACAACTAGCAGCACACAAATACATTTTCACCAAACTAGCCTCAGCGACAGGGTGACTGGTCCTGATACACAACCTCATTCAAATCTCATATAGATGTAAAAATTGGTAGAAAAGACGTGAGGTGACACCCACGGGAGCTGTCCCTTATATCTGAATGTTTAAAGCAAAGTGACAAACCTAATGTTTTCACCTAAGACAAGGATAAAAAAAAAAAAAAAACACAATAAATCAATCCGAGCTGATCAGTCAGGCAGGCAGCTACCAAATCAGTTCATGTGGGAACCAAACAATACAGCATTACAACAGCAGGGGTTAATCTTCCACTCACTGCCCCCCCGCCATTCATCCTATGCAGAACTGCTTTGCCAGACAGATGGATCAAGCACAACAACCCCCACCCCCTCCTCTCAGATCTCCCCCACC